AAAGGATTAGGGAGGAAAAAAGATAGCCATGGATAACAGGCAAAGAAGAGCCAACTAGCACTTAATTGGAATCCCTGGAGGAACAAAAACAATGAAATATAATAGCTATTAAAGATATAAATCAGGGGTCGCCTGGGTGGCTCAGTTGGTTAAGCATCTGCCTTCAGCTCAGGTCATGATCTCGGGGTCCTGGGATGGAGATCTACATCGGGCTCCCTGCTCATCAGGGGAGTCTGCCTCTCCTCCTCCCTCCCCACTGTTTATGTTCTCTCTCTCTCTCAAATAAACAAATAAGATCTTTAAAATAAAATAAAATAAATATTTAAAAAATCAAGACTGGCCCAGATGGGTTCAATGGTAATTCTACCAAACCTTTAAGAAAGAAAATATACCAATTCTCTAAAATCTATTCCATAAGATAGAAGCAGAGGGACTACTTCCTAACCCATTCTATGAGGAGAGCATTATCCCAATACCCAAACCAGATGATATTATAGGAAAAGAAAATTACAGACCAATATTGCTCATGAGCATAGATATAAAAGTCCTTAACAAAATATTAGCAAATAAAATCCAACAATGTATGAAAGGAATTACATGCCATGACTGACCAAGTTGCATTATCCCAGGTGTGCAAGGCTGGTTCAACATCTGAAAATTACTTAATGTAATCCATCACATCAACAGACTAAAGAAGAAAAATAATATGATCATAAAATAGATGCAGAAAAGGCATTTGACAAAATCCAACACCCATTTATGATAAAAGCTCCCAGCAAGCTAGGAATAAAGGGGAATTTCCTCAACTTCATACAGAATATCTACAAAAATCTGCAGTCAACATCACAGTCCACGGCAAGAAACTAGAAGCTTCCCCATTAAGATTAGGAACAAGAAAAGGATGTCCCGTCTCACCACTCCTTTTCAACACTGCACTGGAAGTGTTACTTACTCAGCAAGACAAGAAAAGGAAATAAATCTATCTACATTGGGAAGGAAAAATAAAACCATATCTGTTCGCAGATGACACGACTGCCCACGTGGAAAATATGAGAGATTCAGAAGAAAAAATCTGTTGGAATGAATAAATGCCCACAGCAAGGTTGCAGGATATAGAATTAATACTCAAAGGTCATTCACTTTCCTCTTTACCAACAATGAACAAATGGAACTGAAATGAAAAAAACATTGCTGTTTACATAGGTACCATTAACACCCCCCAAATGAAACTTAGGTATAAATTAATAGTTTATAATAGTTATAATAGTTATAAATAGTTATAATAGTTTATAATAGGTGCAAGATCTCTATGAGGAAAACCACAAAACTCTGATGAAAGAAAGCAAAGGAGAACAAAATAAGTGGAGGGTATTATTCCCTGTTCACAGATCAGAAGCCCCAATATTGTCAAAATGCCAGTTCTTCCCAACTTGATCCATTTGATCTACAGATTTAATGTGATCCTAATTGAATTTCCAACGAGTTATTTTGTGGATCTGACAAGCGGATTCCAAAGTTTATATGTAGAGGCAAAAGACCCAGGACGGCCAATTCATTACTGAAGGAGAAGAACAAAGTTAGAGAACTGACACTACCTGCTGTTAAGACTGACTACTACAGGGGTGCCTGGGTGACTCAGTGGGTTAAAGCCTCTGCCTTTGACTCAGGTCATGATCCTGGGATCCTGGGATGGAGTCCCACATCAGGCTCTCTGCTCAGCAGGAAGCCTGCTTCCTCCTCTCTCTCTCTGCCTGCCTCTCTGCCTATTTGTGATCTCTGTCAAATAAATAAACAAAATCTTAAAAAAAAAAAAGACTACTACTTAAAGCTACAGTAATCAAGACAGTGTGTTACAAGCGAAAGAACAGAGAAATAGATCAATGGAAGAGAAGAGAGAGCCCAGAAATAAAGCCCCATAAATACCGTCAACTGGTCTTTGACAAAGTAGCAAAAGCAATCCAGTGGAGCAAATACATAGTCTTTTCAACAAATGATGCCGGAATAACTGGACGTCACATGCAAAAAAAAAAAAAAAAAATCAGTGTAGACACAGAACTTATACTTCTCACAAAAATTAACGCAGATGCATTGTAGACCATTTTATCTAAATGTAAAACAAAAAACGATAAAACACCTAGGAGATAACATAAGAGAAAATCCTCTGGATGTTTAAAGCACTTTGGATCAATTTAGTGATGCTTAGCCCATGATGCTTTGCAGGCATCTGTGGCCCACTGTCTCCTGGACTCTTGGGGGCACCTCACACCCTAAGAGCACCTAGGCAGGTTTGATGAACCTGATGTAAGCCTAAGAAGTTGTGGCAGAAACCTGGCTCAGAGCTTCTGGGGCAAAAGTGGGAATATATGGAAATGGCAAAGGGCGAGCTCACAAGGTTAAGGGAACCCATGTACTAACTGGGCATCTGGAACAGAAACCAGGAGCTCAGCGGCCCCAGGGCAGGGACTCAGTCTCTGCCATTCTCTGCACACCCATTTTTCTACACCTGACAGGAACCAAAGCTTCCAGCTCCACGTAACCCCAGGGTCTCACCCTCTTCCTCAAGCCTGGTTAGAAAAACAGGCAGAAAGGTTTCAGACCAGTCAAGCTTGGGTTCTTCAAACAAAGCCAGAGGGGACTGTTCTCTCTCTCTCTCTTTTTTTTTAATTTTATTTATTTATTTGACACAGAGAGAGATCACAAGTAGGCAGGGGAGGGGGAAGCAGGCTCCCTGCTGAGCAGAGAGCCCAACGCAGGGCTCGATCCCAGGACCCTGAAATCATGACCTGAGCTGAAGGCAGAGGCTTAACCCACTGAGCCACCCACGTGACCCAGAGGGGCCTGTTCTTGTGAGAACACGGGCACTCCACCAGGAGCACTAACCTGAGTGAAAGAAGGGCAGCCTTAGAGAGAGGACTGTATAGATCAGGGGTGTCTCACTAGGGATCTGAGGGACATTTCCAGAGGCAAGACTTGCCACACACAGAGTAAGGTCTCTCTAAGTCTTCAAAGTCAGAGGGTGATTTGTGACACCCTATGATGGAGAAGGTAGCCTTGTCTCAATGGTGATGGTGGAAAACATGGCACGGCTGATGGCATTGGCAGCAGACTCAGAAAAGCAAAACCCCGATCATACAGGCTGCCTCTGAGTGGGTGTGGGTGGGTCCTTCCTGGGTACCAAAGGGCAACGGATACTTGGCAAGCATCATGGGGCCAAAACCTGAACCCTGACCACCTAGAAGTCTCATTTCTCCTGTGCAAGAAAGTCACACCTCACAGGTAACTTTCAGATCATGAAAACAGATGTGAGGGGTGCCTGAGTGGCTCAGTGGGTTAAAGCCTCTGCCTTCGGCTCAGGTCATGATCCCAGCCTGGGATCAAGCCCCGCATCGGGCTCTCTGCTCAGCGGGGAGCCTGCTTCCTCCTCTCTCTCTGCCTGCCTCTCTACTTGTGATCTCTGTCTGTCAAATAAATAAATAAAATCTTTAAAAAAAAAAAAAACCAGATGTGAACGGGGGTCTTTCCAATGGAATCATTTTATTTTATTTTATTTTATTTTAAAGATTTTATTTATTTATTTGACAGAGAGAGAGATCACAAGTAGATGGAGAGGCAGGCAGAGAGAGAGAGAGAGAGGGAAGCAGGCTCCCTGCTGAGCAGAGAGCCTGATGCAGGACTCGATCCTAGGACCCTGAGATCACGACCTGAGCCGAAGGCAGCGGCTTAACCCACTGAGCCACCCAGGCGCCCCTCCAATGGAATCATTTTAAACCACCACTAGGAGCTGCTGATTAAAGACTCTTTTTTTTTTTTTAAGATTTTCTTATTTATTTGTTTGACAGAGATCACAAGTAGGCAGAGAGGCAGGCAGAGAGAGAGAGAAGGGGGAGCAGACTCCCTGCTGAGTAGAGAGCCCCATGTGGGGCTCGATCCCAGGACCCTGGGATCATGACCTGAGCCGAAGGCAGAGGCTTTAAACCACTGAGCCACTCAGGCGCCTCTGATTAAAGACTCTTAATAGGTGTTTGGTGCCCCACGCACATCCCTTTGGGCCTGACCAATGTGCAGCCAGGCCCAGCTCCACACTGCCCTTTTCTGGGGGCAGAAAGAGCCAGGGAATTTGCCCTAGGACCAACTCATGACCACTGACTGAAAGGAATGGCAGACAAACATTCACAGCCCCTCACCCCTCTTGTGAGGTCATTCAGAGGTGACAGTTGTGTTACAGGTCTCCAGAGGCATGAAGCACCCTACCCACCCTTGATAATGTACTTGTATAGGCTGCCTCCCCTTCCAGTGCTTCCTGGGATCACCTCCCACGTAAACTACTTGTACTTAATCCTTATCTCAGGGTCTGCTTCTCAGAGATCCACACCAACTCACCACATTTTGGTAGAGAAAACAAGAGCTACCCTCCAAAGGAGGCACATAAGGAGACAAGGGTGATGTGGGGGCACAAGAGGTAGAAACCTCCCAAGATGCTTCTTGGGGGCCTCTCTGACCACAAAGGCTCAGATACCCAGCTCAGGGCCATACAAGGAAGCAAGTACTCATCGTAGCAAACATGCATTAGCCAAATTTACAGAAATGGGAGCATGAAATCACACAGTGCTTTTAACTCAAAATGAGAAAGACATCTTCATCCTGGCTAGACCTCTTGCACCCACCTGATGGTACCTTCTCTCTCTACAGACAAGGAAACCTATGATTATCTCAAGGTTGCGTGGTGGGCAAGGGCTGGGCCCAAAAATGAGCTACAGAATCCCCCTGCTAAGTGAATGACACATTTGGGAACTGTGGTGGGACTGGACACCAAACAAGTGCTCACTGACAAAATCCTTATTTTTTTAAAAAAGATTTTATTAATTTGACAGAGAGGGACAACAAGAGAGGGAACACAAGCAGGGGGTAGTGGGAGAGGGAGAGCAGGCTTCCTGCTGAGCAGGGAACTGGATGTGGCGCTCCACCCCAGGACCCTGGGATCATGACCTGGGCTGAAGGCAGATGCTTAATGACTGAGCCACCCAGGCGCCCCCAAAATCCTGATTATGTTGCCTAAGTGGGTGCAAAGGCAGCAGCCAGCTCCCTGACCCTGGGAGTCTCAGATTCCCTTTGGGTTGCAATGACTGACTGTGGGTTTAGGAGAAAGTGGATCAGTTCTGTTCTTTATGCTCTAACACTAGCAACTGGTGGACTGTTTTGGGGGCTAGCTGCCGAAGATGGGAGAAATTGGGGTCAAGGACAGGTGGGGCTGGTCCATTGCAGCAGTATGAATAAGTTACATGGCAACGCCAGGCACAGGATGTTCTGGGATTCCTCCCCACCATCCCTTGGCCAGCACCCTCTTCTGTCCATTATTATGGACAGTTTGTGCTGTCCACTTATCCTGTGTGTGGTACCACGCCAGAGCTGGGGGCAGGTTGTGAAGGAGGCCAATGCCAAGCTTCACCTGGCTGTGTGTCCACCCATTCCTGTCCTCCCCCTCCTTGCCCTCTCAGGAAGTCCCATCCCAGTGAGGGATCAGCGGGGCCACGCAGCACTGAATTCCTTCTCCAGACCCTGGACAAACTGGTCATTGAGGAAGAGCAGTTGACCATGGGGCAGGAAGCGGGCGAGGATGCCCTCGATGCGGTCAGCCCGAAGCAGGAGGTTGGTGCTGGGGGTCAGCAGCCGGAGGTGGTCAAGGAGGAGGCGTGCCAGCAGCCGGAGTGTGCCCTCAGCCAGCAGCAGGTTCTCGTGGGCATCCAGCACCAGGGCAAATCCTAATGAGAGCACACCCAGCCATACCACTGTCCGAGGCTCCTGAAAAGGGTCCCCTGCTGCCAGGCGGAAGGCCCCAAGGGGGGCCTCATGCAGGGGCACTGGCTCATCTGACGACTGAGGCTGCAGGTCCATGGGGGTCCGGCCAGATGCCTGCTGCTGCAGCCGGCACATGGAGTCCACCTGCCTGAGGAGAGTGGGTGGGTCACTGACTTCTGTCATCCTCATCACCACCCTGAGAACTGAGAACTGCTATGAACTCCATATCTCAGATATAGAAACTGAGCCCCAGAGAGACTAAATAACCTGCTCAAGACCACAGCGCAGGAAGCATGAGCCATGACAGGAATCCAGGCTCCTGCCTCCAGGCCCTGAACCATTTCATTCCATGTGTTCAAGAGAAGGCAGGTTTTGAACACAGCCCCTTGGGCCAGGAAAGGGCACCAGGGGAAAAAGACTCTGCCCCCACCAGCTTCACAGAGGGCTCCTTAACATCAAGAAATGCAAGCCTTGGGTTGCCTGGGTGGCTCAGTTGGTTAAGCGTCTGCCTTTGGCTCAGGTCATGATCCCAGGGTCCTGGGATTGAGTCCTACATCAGACTTCTTGCTCAATAGGGAGCCTGCTTCTCCCTCTCCCTCTGCCTGCAGCTTCTCCTGCTTGTGCTCTTTCTCTCTGTCAAATAAATAAATAAAATCTTTTTTAAAAAAGCAAGCCATGAGAAGTTAAAGTCATGTTCAACTGCACTGTCCAATCTCTCTACCCCTGTCCTACCCTGCAACCCTCTCCAAACAACAAAGAAAGACCTTCCACTTGACCATTTAGGCTTTAGAAATCACACTCTGATCTCTCCTGAATCACCTTCTAATTTGGGCCGTGCACAAGCTGGTTTTAAAGGCTTTTGGTTTTCTGTGCCTTTGGTTTCTCTGTGCCCAGAGAAAAAAAGGGATGGCAAAGGCTAGCAAAGAGCTGCCCCAGAATGTTAATCCCCCCACCTCACACCCCACCCACCCACCAGAGAATGCAGAAAGGCAAAGGATTCTGGCACTTGCTGGCTCCATCTTGGCCTGGGATGGGAAAGACCAAGGCCAACCACCACATCTGGAACAGTTTCCTAAATGTTCTCAGTGGATCCCAGGCTTTCAGGAGGCTCTGGGCTCAGAGTTCCTATGTACCACATTCTCTCTCCTCCTTAGGGATTCATAAAACCTACACATATACTAATCGCTCTGAAAAGTCCTGCACTGCAAAGCATGCTTAATCTGTTCCAAGGTCTGCCTGCCATGTTCTAGCTGCATAACCTTGGGCTGGTTAAGTTCCTGTGCCTCCTGAGAGGTGGGGATAATAACCATATCTATCTCAGTGGACTGTTAAAAGAATTAATGAGTTCATATACATGAAATGCTCAGAACACTTAGCACATACGTACAAGCTCAATTAAGGCGAGCTATAATGGTAATGATGATGATGATAGCATTATTATTTCTTTAACTCCTTTTCATAAAATACTTGTGAACAATCATGGGTGACTTGTGGAAACAGTACTCAAACTTTCTGCTTCTTAGTCTGATTCTCTGTACCCTCCCAGAAAACCTATCACAATTGGGCATGTGTTCAATGAAGGCCTGCATTACCTGGCCACAGCCAAAATCTGCTCCTTTCGGAGGAGCCTGTCCCTCTCAGCACCACGTGGTCGTGGGTCATCCGGTGAGTTCTCAGCACCAAAGACGCAGGAGTAGAGCACTCGGCAAAGGCCCGTGTCCTGGGCCTGTGGAGCCCGCAAGGTGTGGATGAGGAAAGCATGGACCATGGCTCCAGGGTGGACACTACAGGGAAGCCAGAGACCTTGGTGAGTGTGAAAGCCCAGCAGCGCAGGCAACCACAAAACGGGTCTCGCAGCATGTGTGAAGGCTGCTGTGACTGGTCACGGGTCCTCCTCCGCCAACCAAGAGGCACTCCCTACCTCTGAATAATGGTGTCTGGTTAGCAGCACTTCTGTCCACCACAGAGGCAACTGGGGAAGAAATCTCAGACAACCCCAAACCGGGCTCTACAAAATAAATGGCCAGGAATCTTCAAAAGTGTCAAAGTCATGACAGTCAACGGATGCTGGGGAGCTGCTCCAGAGGAAACTAAGGAGACAGGGCAGTTGAACACACCATGCCGGGGGGTCCCCAGCCAAAAGGGTCGTTTCAACATAAAGCATTATTAGGACAACTGGAAACAGCTTAGGTAATAGTCTTGATCATTGTTACCTGATTCTGGATGTAGGAGAATGTGCTCGTTTTTAGAAAATACACACTGAAGTACCACTAAATACAGAGGTAAGACTGCACCGTAGCGGCAGCCAACTTAATTGTCAAAGGGTGTACGGTAGTTCTTTGTAAGAAAACTCCTGAAATCTTCTACAAGTTTCGGAGTACTTAAAAATAAAGTCGACTAAATAATGACACTACTAATAATAGTAGCGTCTGGCTGACTCAGTGGCCGGCCCGGGGTTGGGAAGGCAGCCCGCACACAGGAAGCTGCTATCTTGATCTCTAATTTAGGGTAAGTAAATCGTCCGTTTAAATTGGTCAAGCAGGAAGTTTCGCGAAGGCACTTTGAGAACTGCAGCCCGCTGATCCGCGAGGACCTCCGGTGACCCCCACCCCAGCCTCACGAAGAGCACGTCATCAGTCTTAGCCACCGTGTCCCCCCAAGTCACAGCGAAATGGTAGCGACCAAACCCTCACGTCACTGACTCGCGCAAGCCTGCGGCGCAGTGCATTTCGGGAGTTGTAGTTCCTTGCTTCTGTCAAACAGCCCTAAGAGGAACACCCCAACCGAGTGTGCTGCCCCTTCAGCCTTGGAGCCGCTGTCCTCCGGGCCTCATACTCACCCTTCCTTCCTTGCCCGCGGGCTTCTACTCACAGGCCGCTCCACTCCGCAGCAGGAGAGCAATGGCGGCTGCGCGGCCCCTGAGCGCCTGCGTACAGCGGTCGCGGGCGCGCGCACGAGCTGACGCGCGCGGGAGGGGGGCGGGGCGAGGCCCCCCACGTCAGGTGGGGCCCCCATGCCAGGTGTACTGTTCCGGGAGTGGGGAGGGGTGGTGTTCTGACACCTGGACGCCCCCCGACCCCGGCAGGGGCGGCTTTCGCTCTCTGACCAAAGACCCCTTACTTCGAACTCCCAGCGGGACCTTCGCGGGTTATCTCCAGACATGGTATTGGTGGAGTCCCGCTGCGAGGCCTGGAGCAGCCGAGCCCCAGGCCACCGCGAGGGGGCGCAGCGTCCCGGAGCGTGAACCTTCCGGAAAAGGCCCGGTGACCACATCGTTGTGGGCTGGCGCGGGTCGGTCCTCTGCAGTCCCTGCCAGCCTTGTGAGGCTCGTGGGGCCTAAATAAAGGTGCGGGGCCGGTTCTCGAACTGGCCAGTATGCGTGGGAGTCACTGGGGTGCCTGTTAAAATGCAGATTCCTAGGCTTTATTCGTGGAAATTGTGACTTTAGGAGAAAGATGCATGTTTAGGCTGTCGGTGGGGGAGGGTTTGGTGTTGTGGATTCCCGCAGCGGGTTAAGACCAGAGTTTTTAAACGCTCTGGGAGCCAAACGCAACAGTTCTCCTAGTTCGATGAGGACCCTGGTGGCACTTTGCAACGGAAGTGTCGAATGCAAATGAAATGTGAGCTTCCAGTTAGTCAGATTCCGTTCTTTTCCAAGTGAGGAAACAGACCGTTTTGGAGTAGAACGATTTAAATTTGTCCCCACCCTGCCACCAGCGGTGTGTCCGTGACAGGTGAGTCACTTCGTTGGGCCCCAGTGAAGAAGCCCCGTAGGGTTTAGCAGGCTTACCAGTTTATCTTCATATTCCCACCACTAACAAGGTGACCCATCTTTGAGGGAGGTCATCAAAGTAAAGAGACTTACTTCACACTGAAAGGGGCACTGGCAGCCACCAGCCTCCAGAGACAAACGGCAGGATGAAAGCCCCACCCAGAGGTGTTTGGGGCCCTGCAAGGTCTGTCCTGAGCCTCACTGCCTACCCTGGGCCATGCACCTACAAGCTCTTTTAGCTATGGGCATGTGAAGGGCTCAAGACCCCATGGTCCGTGCCTCAGAGCCTCCACACCAGCTGTTCCCTCAGCCTGGAATGCCCTTTCTTCCCTTTCTTTTGCTCTTCCAGATGTGCTCAGACCAAAAGAGGGGCAACCGTCTTGCCTGGACTGCCCATTAGCATTCAGTTGCCCCTTTGCACCCATTGTTGAGGGTCTGTCTGTGATGGTGACGTCTCCCAGGGGGCATACCCAGGCTAAGGTACTCACCCACTCTCCCCAGAGCCATGCACACTCCTTGGTGACTGAAGAAATGAAGGACAGGGCAGCCCCGGCAGGGACCCTGGAGTCAGGACCCTCCAAGGGGAGGGGATGTATTCCTGGCCCCTCTGGCCATAGAACGTGGGCGGGGGAAAGTAAGGAAGGCTAGAGGAAGTGGCCAGGGGGCCAGGGTGTGTGGGCATTTTGACCACAGGTACAACCCATAAATTGTAGTTGGACGGGCAGACGCAGAGATGGTGTGGGGACCCAGTCACAAGGCTGGGGGTCATGGTGGCTCAGTTCCTGGTTCCCGGTCCCTATCACCCTTAGCCAGAACCCATGTCTGCTAGCTGATTACAGCAGAAAACTGGCAGAGGGCTCTGGTTGCTTGGGGCCACCTGGCATCTGGAACACAGTATTCTAGCCTCTATCCACTCTGGGCAGTGAATCCACTCCAAGTCCCAGGCCACCAAGGGGCTGGCTGGCCTTGTGTGAAGTGTGTGAAGGAGACAGCAGTGAGAAGCTGCCTGAGCCACTACCGTGGAGGGCTGTGAAAGACCCAGATGGGGGTGGTGTCCTGATGAGGAGCAGAGAGGAGTCAGGTGCCATTCCCAACTTTCTGCAGCCTTCAGCCAACCTGTGCCTTCCGGGTCAAAACCCCGGAAGCTGAGGACAGCGAGGCAGGAAGGAGCCCGAGTTCCCCAAGATGCTGCAGGGCCTTCCTGCTGAGGGAAGAGCACACACGTTGATTTTGCTAAACAGCTGTGAGGGATTGATGTTCTATACAGTCTAATTCATTCCTAAGTGAGGCAGCGTGTAAAGAGGTCAGGGTGTTGCCTGGCCTAAGGTAGGCACTCGGTAAATCTATAAATGTTGACAACTGTTAATACAGAGGCAGGATAGGAAAAGGTGTCAGAGAGGTGTGGGTCATCACTGGAAAGCAAGTGGGGCCTTCTGGTCTGATGGGAGTCAGAAGCAGAGAGATGGACGGGCTGAACTTCCTGGTGCTTCTTGGAGTTGTAAGACCTGCCCTGAAGACCAAATGGAACAGCCCGAGTGGGATGGAGGTAGCATGTGTCGCATGTTCGTGTGTGTGAGGCCTTCATAGTGGTTACCCTACAGATCATGGCCGGGCCAGGCATAGTAAGTACAGATATGGGCTTGTGGGATACGGATGGAGAGAGAGAAAGGTAGAGACAGAAACTGGGTAGAGAAGGAAGAAAAGTAAAATTAGACAAAGCACTACAAAAAAATTAGAGGAACTTCAAGGAAGCAGGTTGCTGGATTTAAGGCCTGGCCCACCTGTCTAGAAGTGGCTGGAGACCACACCTTCCTATCATTTCCCCTCCCCTCCCTCTGGCTGTGGGCAGAGTTGCCCATCACCCCATTCCCCAGCCCTGCTATTCTCTGTGGACCTCTGAATTGGGGTGGGGGGGCTGGTATGCCTACAGCCTCTTGCATTGGCCCCTTCCCCAGACTACCACCCTACACTACTGTCTGCCCCACGTCAGGGCGAGGCCTACCCCATAGTGCCCCTTTTCCAGTACCTTTTGGTGTCCACCACTGCGATATCTGCACAGTGACTTACACTGATTCAATTTGCAAAGCAGTTTCCATTCCCCACCTACCCAAACCACAGCATTGTCATGAAACACTGGTGGGCAGGCTGGCTTGGGAAGTTCTGCTGCTGCTCCTAGACATCAGGACCAATTCCCTGGTCCTACTTACACACCTCCAGGGACAGGGAGCTCACTCCTTAGAGACAGCCCCATTGCTTTTTGACAGCTGGAAACCCTTACTGATCATCTTGAGTCCTCAGGCTAGACTAGCAGAGCAGCCACCTACTTCTGGATGTGGGGAGGGCAGTTGGGTGGAATCTGCCAGCCCCAGGCAGTGGATTTTTTTAACGACTCCCTGATTAAGAAGTCCAGCCGTTTCTTGAAGAGTAGAGTAGCAAACTAAGAAGAAGGAATCTGCCTTTTCGAGAATCCAGGCAGGCTGAGATTAAATTGATAAGGTTGCCCTAGAACCAAGGGGACCAAAGTCAGGCAAGCCTTGTCCTTTTGTCCCCCTGCTCCTCCCTAGATCACCTCAGAGATGGCATTGCCCTGTGCAGGCAGCCTCCCACTGGCCACACAGATGGCTTCCTCCTTTCTCTCCACAACATCCCCTTCCACAGCTTCTTAACTGCTACCTGGACTGGTGCAGTAGGCTACCAGCCTACACACAACAGCTGGGCTTTTCTTCTGCAACCCATCACCAGGCAGAAATGGCACCTGGCTGCTCTTGCGCATGTGCAGAATGGAAAGAAACTCTCAGCCTAGACCCCTCTCTTTTAATTGTCTTCAGGCTCCTCCTTTTTACCTGTCTGATCTTGTAATCTTGTAATCTTCACAATGGCCTTAAATCATAACAGCCCTAGCAGACTCTTGTAGGGCATTTGCTGTAGACAAGACTCTGTTCTGAGTGTTTTACATACACTAACTCTATTGATCCAATCCAAAACCATTTGAAGGAGGGTCTTTACAATTCCCATTTTTTAGATGTGGAAGTTAAGACATGGGAGATCAAGTAACTTTCCTGAAGTGAACACATGTGCTAAGGGAAGTGTGCATGTCAAGAGATTTCAGCCTGCCCCCTCCCTTCCCCTGGTGTGTCCCCTTCTCCCCTGTTACCTCATAGTCCCCCTAGGGGCTGGCTCAGCCCCTGCTTCCAGCTCCAGAAGGCCATAAGCCTCCTTCAACCCCAGCCCTGCTTACCTCGTACAACCCAAACCTGGGAGCTCCATCCCACCCTCAGGGAGCCCTGGGCCCCATGGAAGCCATCTTGGCTGGGCTCCAGGAGGATGAGGCCATGTGTGATTTGTCCTTTCAAACAGCCATGCTTCCTGAAGGGCTGACAGCCAGGAGGCCCCACGAGGCAGCTCAAGCCCAGCCACGTGAGGCTCCCTCCCCTCCCGCTGCCCCGGGCCCGCTGACTCAGAGCCTGGCTGCTGCTGGCGGGTGCAGCCACTCCCTCCCAGGGGCGTCTGCTGGTGTGGGCTAGGTGGGGCAGACTCAGCCCTTGCCTCATACCCCCTGGCACCCCACAAATTCCTGTGTGGGTTGGGTGGGAATGCTTCTTACCTTCTGTCCCATAACCAACTGTCTTCTTTGAACAATCGGCTGTGAACAAGTCCACATCCTGCGGCATTCTCTCAAGGCATGACTTTCCTGGCCATAGACCAGCAACTTCTCTGTCATTACTCAACTTCCCTCTCCTGATTGTTTCCAGATTCCACAAGGCGGGGACCTCCCTGTCTAAACATCCCTCCTTTCTGCACCTATGGTTTTCTTGCCTCTGGAAAGTGGGTGCCTTTGTGCTCAATTCCAAGGTTGAGGACTTTTTAGAAATCCCAAGTTTTCTAGAAGG